GTACACACATATACATACAGACACAAACACACACATACATAGCGACACATACGTACTCACGCACATACACACACATACAGACACAGATGCGCGCACACACGCATACATAGCAAAACGTACGCACACGCACATACATAGCAACACATGCATACAGAGACGCGCACACATACATACACACACACACACACACTCACACACTCACGTACACACACACAGACATGCACTTTGTTATCCATGTAGAACAACATACTATTCTTGTTTATTTTATGAATTTTCTACTCAACCTGCAGAATAGTCTGGAAAACACAAGGCCTGGGAGACATACAGCAGTGACATTTATCCCGTGAACAGCAGTAGTTGCAGGTGTAGCTGGAGGCAGTTGTTGTTTGGCAAGAAGGCTCATTAGCAGTGTTTGGTGGTCTCGTTATTACATCTAATGGCACCCTTCTTGTTATTGCAGCTTCAGAGAAAAACAACATACAAAGAAAAATGACTTCTACAACATGTATGGTTCCTTTTGGTATATCGCCTGCTTAGCATGTTCTAACCAGTATCCGACAACCATTAATGTTGGAGGTTTGGCTTTGAAAGGATACAAAATCAAGAGATCTGGAGTTGTAATAATATTATAATTGATCTCACTCACTGTTTGATATCGTAAAAATCCAGCTCAAACTCTCTGGGCACTGCACGGTTGAACATGATTGCTGTTTTATTGAAATAAAATTTACGGTGCAATTTGCACACAGCAATAAATGCTCTCAAAGTTGAGCACCCCAATACTTTTGCCCGGAAATGTCACTTTAAAATAGAAGCACATATTACTGAATGTAATTTTATTATAGATGTTCAGGCCCTATTCACCATTTCACTGATGTCCCAAACATGGAATCCACTCTTTCCTCTCAATATATTTTCTTTATCTACAGCAGTGTCTCCCAAAGTGGGGTCCGCGGCCCCCTGGTGGGCCGCGAGGGTACTGCAGGGGGGCCGCGGGAGGTCATAAAAAAAATAAAAAAATAATATAATTATTTAATGTTAAATTTATAATGTTTTGTTTGTAATATTAAAATATTTGTGTTCATTATTTGACTTGAATAATCCACTGTAATCATTTTTGTATTACAATGTTCGTAGCAGAGGCTATTTCCCCAAAATAAAATAACCAGAAGAGCCTATTCTTAATGTTGTCTTCTTGGTTATTATTTTGGGGGGCCACGCAGACCCGTCAGATTTTTAAGGGGGCCTCGGTGTTACTGAGTTTGGGAATGGCTGATCTACAGTATTTCATCTTATCAACTGACAGTTCGACTATAGGCTATACTCACACTACGGAATTGGATTCTGAGTTTAGATTTTTGAAAATATATTATAATCTGAGATTATCAGTCATCATTCACTTAAAGGAGCAAAATGTAAAAATCTGGTCAAAAGTGGTACTGCAGCCTCTCCCACTCTCCCTGACTCAGGTTGCCAGATATGCAGACGAATCCAGCTGGGACCATAATAGCTGTACAAGAGTTTTGTCTACAGCAAAACTATAAACAACACCTTTTTCACAAATATAGAAATCCTTGTTGTATTCCTTGTTTTGTCATTATTGATTTGAGAATCATGACAAGACCTTTTTCAGTTCTGCGGCCACATGTTACTTTACCAGAGAGATTAGCTCGACACGGTGAGTTCTGGCAACCCAGATCACGGACTTTCTGATTAGTAAAATGGTGGAGGGCGGGGCATCGAAATAAAAGCAATAAAAAGATTTCGGTTTATTATTGCCTTTTGACAGATCAGGGCCATTTAATGACGACTTGACATAAAAATCTTACATATTGCTACTTTAAGATACATTACATTTAACATCTGTGAATGTGGTATTATGTGAAAGTAAATGTGTAGACGACACTTTTTGAGGACTGAATTAAAGATCATCACTGTCAAACTATTTTTTTTAAACGATTTGGCTTCTGGCAAGACTTCATGGAATTCCATTTAATGGTTGTGATGGTTATTAGGGCTATTATTATTCATATTAGGTCAATACTATTATCATTATAATCGTTATTGTCCCATACCCTCATTGTTGTAACATACAGTGCCTTGCGAAAGTTTTCGGCCCCCTTGAACATTTCAACATTTCGCCACATTTCAGGCTTCAAACATAAAGATATAAAAATTAAATTTTTTGTCAAGAATCAACAACAAGTGGGACACAATCGTGAAGTGGAACAACATTTATTGTATAATTTAAACTTTTTTGACAAATAAAAAACTGAAAAGTGGGGCGTGCAATATTATTCGGCCCCATTGCGCTAATACTTTGATGCGCCACCTTTTGCTGCAATTACAGCTGCAAGTCGCTTGGGGTATGTCTCTATCAGTTTTGCACATCGAGAGACTGGAATTCTTTCCCATTCTTCCTTGCAAAAACGCTCGAGCTCAGTGAGGTTGGAAGGAGAGCGTTTGTGAACAGCAGTCTTCAGCTCTTTCCACAGATTCTCGATTGGATTCAGGTCTGGACTTTGACTTGGCCATTCTAACACCTGGATACGTCTATTTTTGAACCATTCCATTGTAGATTTGGCTTTATGTTTTGGATCATTGTCCTGTTGGAAGATAAATCTCCGTCCCAGTCTCAGGTCTTTTGCAGACTCCAACAGGTTTTCTTCCAGAATGGTCCTGTATTTGGCTCCATCCATCTTCCCATCAATTTTAGCCATCTTCCCTGTCCCTGCTGAAGAAAAGCAGGCCCAAAGCATGATGCTGCCACCACCATGTTTGACAGTGGGGATGGTGTGTTCAGGGTGATGAGCTGTGTTGCTTTTACGCCAAACATATCGTTTTGCATTGTGGCCAAAAAGTTCGATTTTGGTTTCATCTGACCAGAGCACCTTCTTCCACATGTTTGGTGGGTCTCCCAGGTGGCTTGTGGCAAACTTTAAACAAGATTTTTTATGGATATCTTTGAGAAATGGCTTTCTTCTTGCCACTCTTCCGTAAAGGCCAGATTTGTGCAGTGCACGACTGATTGTTGTTCTATGGACAGACTCTCCCACCTCAGCTGTAGTTATCTGCAGTTCATCCAGAGTGATCATGGGCCTCTTGACTGCATCTCTGATCAGTCTTCTCCTTGTTTGAGATGAAAGTTTGGAGGGACGGCCGGGTCTTGGTAGATTTGTGGTCTGATACTCCTTCCATTTCAATATAATTGCTTCCACAGTGCTCCTTGAGATGTTTAAAGCTTGGGAAATCTTTTTGTATCCTAATCCGGCTTTAAACTTCTCCAAAACAGTATCTCGGACCTGCCTGGTGTGTTCCTTTGTCTTCATGGTTCTCTCTGCGCTTTAAACAGAACCCTGAGACTATCAAAAATATTGGATCATTCAAAGATCCTCACTGAACTTCTGGAGTGAGTTTGCTGCACTGAAAGTAAAGGGGCCGAACAATATTGCACGCCCCACTTTTCAGTTTTTTATTTGTTAAAAAAGTTTGAATTATCCAATAAATTTCATTCCACTTCACGATTGTGTCCCACTTGTTGTTGATTCATGACAAAAAATTAAAATGTTATATCTTTATGTTTGAAGCCTGAAATGTGGCGAAATGTTGAAAGGTTCATACTTTCGCAAGGCACTGTATATAGATCTATACATACACCACATAATTCATAACTTTTTACTTATTGTTCTCGTGCTGTGTGCACATCATGTCTGTTCTGTAACTGGTGATGCAACACAGAAATGTACCCACCGTGGGACGAGAATCTCTTAATTTTAACATTATAGGCACGTGCCAGCCATCAAGGTGAGCCATAATTTCCTTGACCAAATATTACAAGAATAATTCAACAAAAGGGCAAAATCTGACTCCAGACACAGGTGAGGCGCTGAAGTGTGTGCTGCTTCTGACACTGATTATTAGAATGGGTTGTGCGGGTCAGGACCTGTGAACCCTGCATAACATCATCCGTGGGGCACTTGTTATGCATTTGATTCAGTCTAAATAAATAAAGTGCTGGGAGTTGTGTCTCGCTTTGTCCCTCCCACGCTGCATGTGTCAGAGAGATGGAAGCAGACGGCAACGTAGAGGAAAACCTAAATATCTCATCACAGAAACAAGACCAAAGCACGTATACAATTAAAACTTGTCTCTGAATCTTTAGCATCAAAATGTATTGTTTTTGATACATTTGGTTCTGCTGAGAAAGATCTCAGCTCCTGTGGACTCACCACCTGCAGGAGGATCAGTGAGGGGCTGGTGCTCTGTGGACTGGGTGGCATCTCTGGCCACCTCCCTGACCCAGAAATGGATTAAGGGGAAGAAAATGGATGGATGGATGGACATTTGGTTCTCGAGGAATGTTGTGGTTCACATTGCCCTCATATCTGATAAATGTGAATATAGTGTAATTTGATCATTTGTCTTTATTTACAAAACATTCAAAATGTTATACACTTCACTATTTCTATATATATTTATATTACTATAATTTGTCAAGTGCTTTGTAAGAAGGAACTCCCAGGAAGCTGCATTTGCGAATAGGTGGGGCATCAATACAGAAAACGCAAAAACAAATACATAGTAGAGTAACTTGTAAACATGTCAATTCATTATAAAATACTGAACAAATATGACAAATATATCATTTGTGTACAGTAAGTAATGAATAATGTATAGAACGCAGGTCATTATCGGAAAATAAGTACAGAAAGGGAGAACCCTTGGAGGTACTAATTTTCTTCCGATAATGACTTGACTTCTATACATTATTCAGATTATTATATAGCTATCTGCCAACTGAACACAAAAAATAAACTTCAGTCCACTTTTATGAATACCGAAATGTTTATCTAATGACTGTAAATAAAGTAGTTCCTAAAGGTTTTGCCGTTGCCAGGCAGTGTGGCTACACTAGCGTGGCTAGGCCACTAACAGGTAGGCTAGTTACTTACTGATATTAAACGGGACCTTCCTGTTGAAGGTGCAGTTGGAGATGAGGAATGGTGGTGTTTCTCTGGGTAAGATGAAAGTCGGACTCCCATTAACCTCAGGAGTGATTTCTCCAGCTTCTCTCTTCAAACGTAGTGAGGCCCTTCTGAATATAGAAAGCGCTAGCGTAAATATAGCTTGTTGACAAAGTGGCCGGACTACTTGAGGAGTGACACATGGATTACAAGCACAAATTGTGTTGCCATTGGCCGCTGTTATTATTAGTTTCAGAAACATCTGCTATTAAGAAATAATTATCGTTAGAACGGTGGAGCGTTTTAGCTCATATAGTCCAAAAGTGAAGCATTTTACATTTTAAATCAATATATGAGGCATTTGTAGTTTGTCACAAGACACAAAATCTTTCTCTACAAACATAAACACAGTACTCGTCTTAACATGTTGTCTTTAGTGGGCTCATTCAAAATGTATTTACAGTGCCTTGCGAAAGTATTCGGCCCCCTTGAACCTTTCTACATTTCGCCACATTTCAGGCTTCAAACATAAAGATATAAAATTTTAATTTTTTGTCATGAATCAACAACAAGTGGGACACAATCGTGAAGTGGAACGAAATGTATTGGATAATTTAAACTTTTTTAACAAATAAAAAACTGAAAAGTGGGGCGTGCAATATTATTCGGCCCCTTTACATTCAGTGCAGCAAACTCACTCCAGAAGTTCAGTGAGGATCTTTGAATGATCCAATGTTGTCCTAAATGACTGATGATGATAAATAGAATGCACCTGTGTGTAATCAAGTCTCCGTATAAATGCACCTGCTCTTTGATAGTCTCAGGGTTCTGTTTAAAGCGCAGAGAGAACCATGAAGACAAAGGAACACACCAGGCAGGTCCGAGATACTGTTGTGGAGAAGTTTAAAGCCGGATTTGGATACAAAAAGATTTCCCAAGCTTTAAACATCTCAAGGAGCACTGTGTAAGCAATTATATTGAAATGGAAGGAGTATCAGACCACTGCAAATCTACCAAGACCCGGCCGTCCCTCCAAACTTTCATCTCAAACAAGGAGAAGACTGATCAGAGATGCCGCCAAGAGGCCCATGATCACTCTGGATGAACTGCAGATAACTACAGCTGAGGTGGGAGAGTCTGTCCATAGAACAACAATCAGTCGTGCACTGCACAAATCTGGCCTTTATGGAAGAGTGGCAAGAAGAAGTAATCTTTATTTATATACCGCCTTTTCACTGTAGATCTGAGTCTCAAAGCGGTTTACAATTGTTAATTTTTTTGGGCATTTGTCTCTCACTCAACACAGAGATGGGAGCAGGGTCGCCAGTACAGGAGGCGCATGCCAGAACTATTGGACATATTTTTAGTGGTAGGGGAAACCGGAGTACCCGGAGGAAACCTACGCACTACGACACAGGGAGAACATGCAAACTCCACTCAGAAAGGCCCTGGTCCGACCGGGATTCGAACCCAGGACCTTCTTGCTGAGAGGCGAGAGTGCATTTCTCAAAGATATCCATAAAAGGTCTCGTTTAAAGTTTGCCACAAGCCACCTGGGAGACACACTAAACATGTGGAAGAAGGTGCTCTGGTCAGATGAAACCAAAATCGAACTTTTTGGCCACAATGCAAAACGATATGTTTGGCGTAAAAGCAACACAGCTCATCACCCTGAACACACCATCCCCACTGTCAAACATGGTGGTGGCAGCATCATGGTTTGCGCCTGCTTTTCTTCAGCAGGGACAGGGAAGATGGCTAAAATTGATGGGAAGATGGATGGAGCCAAAGGACCATTCTGGAAGAAAACCTGTTGGAGTCTGCAAAAGACCTGAGACTGGGACGGAGATTTATCTTCCAACAGGACAATGATCCAAAACATAAAGCCAAATCTACAATATAATGGTTCACAAATAGACGTATCCAGGTGTTAGAATGGCCAAGTCAAAGTCCAGACCTGAATCCAATCGAGAATCTGTGGAAAGAGCTGAAGACCGCTGTTCACAAACGCTCTCCATCCAACCTCACTGAGCTCGAGCTGTTTTGCAAGGAAGAATGGGAAAGAATTCCAGTCTCTCGATTTGCAAAACTGATAGACATACCCCAAGCGACTCTCAGCTGTAATTGCAGCAAAAGGTGGCGCTACAAAGTATTAGCGCAAGGGGGCCGAATAATATTGCTCGCCCCACTTTTCAGTTTTTTATTTGTTAAAAAAGTTTAAATAATCCAATAAATGTTGTTCCACTTCAGGATTGTGTCCCACTTGTTGTTGATTCTTGACAAAAAAATTAATTATTATATCTTTATGTTTGAAACCTGAAATGTGGCGAAATGTTGAAATGTTCAAGGGGGCCGAATACTTTCGCAAGGCACTGTATTTCTAATGCACTCGGCTTCATCTTGAATGACGATCGGATGAATACAGAAATTCTGAGACATCTGGGAACACACAAAGTGGACTATTTGTATCGGCTATCAATAGTATGAAAAGCATTTTGTTCTCTTCCTTCTTCATTAATTAAGCTCAAAATAAACAACCAAATTGTCCTGTTTGAATAATGTTAGTAACCAAGAGGTCGGGAACAGTTGAAGATAACAGAAAAGTGTGTACACTGCAACATCAGGTCATTGTGCTTTTACTGAGCCTGTGGCAATTAAGTCTTCTGCCTAATTAACTCATACGTTGGGAGAATAAAGGCTGATGATGGCAGAGCAAGAATGTGATGAACTCATTTAGACATGCACATAGATAATACTCGGTCGTTTCATCTACAGTAATTAGGTCTGGGGGAGGTGTGGCTGCGGGACTTGTACATACAGGATCTGCATGAATAAGTGACCTTCTCCATGTTCAGCCATCGCACACTTCTGGACTCGCATCAGAGACGGCGCTAAATATCAAGCACTACCTACTTGGCTTCAGTTTGTATCTAGAAGGGATTATTTCTGAGCACTACTTTGTAAGACATGCCTTTAAATATAATCATTGTCCATATCTGAAACACTAAAATCAATAGCTGCACGACAGGAGTCTGGAGGAGTTCTGAAGGTCTTAGAGTGATCTTATTTTTAAACAAGCCTGAAATAGAGACATCAAGCTCAGACTAATTCACAGTGGCGCCCCATCACTGCACGTGTATTAAAACATTGACTTCAGACTTACAGCAACAACACTTGGTTCAGAACTGTCATGTATTGTCTATTATTTATGAGCTGAGTTTTCCTCAAGCTGTTCATGTTTCATCAATATTGAATAAAGCCATAAAAGCTCTCTAACACAAAAGTTCATTCATTATATTTCTTCTTGTGGCGTTATGTGAAGCATCAATCTTTCAACGCTATAGTGATTGAAAAGGGTAAAAGCCTGACCCTATTTCACCCATTGATTATTTTGTTTGTAAAAATAATCAAACATAATAAATAAAATAGTGAAATGACACAACTCATGCACTGCAGACACAGAGCCTGAAAATGTGCCAGGGCCCTTAACACCTGGCATGACAGCGATATGTTAGTTAAGAAAAGGCTCTCTCTTCAATTAGAGATGGGTAATGATACATGATTTGTCAGATTTTGTTCATTTACTTTTAAACACCAGTTTAATCACCAGACATTACTTCCACAGGACTGAGCCATTATCTCTTTGTAGTGCACCTGAAGTGCATCCATCACAGTCGAACATGATTTCACAGCCTGTTTGTGTACAGCACATTGCTCCTAATGTTCTCTCTTTAATACTGAGCTGTAATACATCAAAGCGATGCATCATAATGGCCTATTGTGCTGCCTTCCAAAACGGACTCACCAGCACCACACTGAGCCCTGTGTACATACCACACATCCTCCATCTCCTCTGTACTTCCTCTGTTCCCCTCCTGCAGTGGATCTTTGACTGACCAGCTTCTAATGTGGAGCATCATGCATTTTAATCAAGTGTACATAACAGACTGTGGTGGTAGTGAAGGTGGCGCTATTTGTAGAAGGAAGATGAGAGGGAATAGCTGCCTCTCCCCTTGACTCGGGCCCTGGCTGTGGGGGCAGCTGTAATTGGGATGATCTGGGTGTGCCAGCTTTATTGAGAGTGATTTTATTTATGATAAAGTCTCATGTAGAGTGGAAAGTCTTTATTGAGACTTTCCACTCTAGGACAGAGTCCGAGCACACACCTAAAGAGGAGACATGGACTTTATCGCCATCAGCAGATCAATCTTTCTAATGATCTAATCGAATAATCCCTGCACTTCTCTAGGGACAGGTTAACCCCTCACTGACCGCAGACCACGGGCATGTTACACTTTCAGATTTGGGTGCACGCATAATGTATTTCTCTCTCCTTACTCCGCAGCTCTCCTCGGCACTGCTCTTTGATGCAGTGTACGCTGTGGTGGCGGCAGTCCAGGAGTTGAACCGGAGCCAAAATGTTGGTGCTACTCAGCTTTCCTGCAAATCCTCCAAGATTTGGGAGCACGGGACCAGCCTCATGAATTACCTGAGGATGGTAAGGTCATCACTGTGGGACGTCACTAGATAATATCTCTATATTACTGCAAACTCCAATGGTATGTTTTGAATCCATGACTATTTACATTACACATAGGACTTGTCAAGCTATATACATTTGCAACAATAACGCCAGAGGTTTCATCCAAGATAGATGCGCACTCCTTATCTAAACGGTCGGTCTATCTTATTCTATCTATTACTTCAGAACAAAAGAGACGGGTGATAAAGATGAGCTGTCAGTACCTAAAATGCTTTCCTAATAGGGAAAAACGTCTGTAAGTAATGGATCTATCCAGATGCTTGAATGAGACACATCTTTGGTAGCAGTATACCTCTTTGTCAGTTATAATGTCTGTGATAAAAAACAAAATAGTCTGATCATTAAGATTATAATACTATCTTTGTCCATCTATAATACTATCTAATTTAAAGAGCATAACTGTTTTGCTATCTCTTGTTTTTATGGCTCAAAAAGTATAAAACATGTATTGTTATTGTGTGCAAGTTTGTGTCTCCTCAAACCGCACTCATAAAGAAGATTCCCCTTGTTTGACTATAATTGCCCAAAACATCTCATTCAACCTAAACAATTCAGAAAAGAATGTTTTATAGTGTGGTTTTAGATACACCTACGAAAAGTCACGTACTGTTGTTTGTGTGTTGAATAGGTAGAACTAGAAGGTCTGACAGGACATATTGAATTCAACAGTAAAGGCCAGCGGTCCAACTACGCCCTGAGGATCATGCAGAACACCAAGGACGGCCTGAAGCAGGTGAGAGCGGCCAAAGCAGATCCATGTGTTCAATTGTAGAAATTGAAAACAGCTCAGAATGACCACTGGCCAGTGCAGTTTCCCCGTTTCATACTGTTGTAATTGACCAATAAAGTGCTCGACAATGGTCCTGGTACATGCTTTTTATCGCAGTTATATTGCGGTGAGCATGCAGCGGGGAGCCATACCAACTGCTTTTCAGTTCTAGATGCATAAGTGGTTCAGCTCAATGATAATTCCTGTATGTGAAAGTACTGCTTTAATGGAGACGTGTGATTGTGCTCCATGCCATTAGCTGTCATTAGTTTATAGTGGACAATAATGTTACATTTGTCCACAGTTAAGTGCTTCACAGTTTATTAGAATGTACCTGTTTCTGAAATATCGCGGTGTGGTATTTATGGCTCATATTGATTCCCACCAATCACTGCTGCTCTCGTCTCACAGGCTGCGGCGGGGAGCCTCAAGAACAGACAGCAAAGCTTAGTGGAAACCATTTGATGGAAAAGCGACAAGCAGTAAATACTTTGCAACATTTTATCCAGGATTCTATAGTCAGGCATTATGCACCTGCCCCAGGTGATGTCAAGAGACAGACTGTGTGCAGTGTAAGTGGGATATAATGAAACTCTCTAAACTTGACGATCCAACTCCGCTGCAGTTTTGTGGTTGTCCAAAAAGTGTAACTCAATGCAGTAATTGGCGACACTCATGGGTCACAGCAAGAAGGTGGGTTCAATTGTATTCATTTGCATTTGGTATGGGGTTTGCATGTTCTCCTCATGTTTGGATAGGTTTCCTTGATGCACCAGGTAAAATCCTCCAGCTCCTGTAGTCCTGACCAAGCTGAGCATCAGTATCTGGAGATGGGTCCCAGTGCAGCTCTGAGAACATGAGGGATAGATGAGAAAGTGGTGAATTAGCGGAGAGTGCTGCAGAAAATATATTCAAATGGATTTTGACAATTTTACAGAAAATCAGATACAGGAACGTTAAAAGCTAGAGTTTGTAGATTCGAATAACAGCAGCCCAACACCAGGCGTTTGAGCACTGAGTACTGTGTACTCGCAGTATTAGCTTTTATGTAGTTGATAATGTTTTCAGGGATTTCAGCACTGGCCTCGTGCCCTTTTTGTATGGAGCTATTATTGTTTCAATAATATTTGTGCATGCGTAAAAAGATATGTGTGTGCGTAACCAGATTTGTGTGTGCGTAAAAAGATTTGTGTGTGCGTAACCAGTTTGTGTGTGCGTTATAAAAATCTGTGCGTGCGTATACAGATTTGTGTGTGTAGAAAAAATATTTGTGCGCGTGTAAATAGATTTGTATGTGCGCAAAAAGATTTTGTGTGCGTAACTAGATCTGTGTGTGTAAAAAAAAAAAATAATAATAAGTACGTTTTACACAGTATGTTTCTTTATTTTCATAAGATAAAGATACTATGAAAACAGGTGAGATGACTTGCAGTTTTAAAAACACAGTGAAGCAGTCGATGCACAGTCAAAAATTGCTGTCCGAGGCTCGTTACCTTGTGAAATAAAAGTCCTTTATTGACACAAGGTCTTCTTCAGGGATAAATGAAAGTGTGGCCATATTAGCTGAGACTTTTAAAGGGAAAGTCATGTGATAGGAGGCACCTTTACCTTTTTACATGTTAAACATCTAGAGAACATGTTTGATCATCAAACGCACTCTCTATCGCACCTCACACAAAACATCTCAAAAGTCATGTCTGGAAGTTAGGTTGGTAGAAGTTGGAACTCTCTGCAAAAACAGAGTCTGAATATTCCCTCTAACTCACACCATCCTATGAATGTGAATATATTGATGTTTGTGGTCGTATCAAGAAGTTCATACTTTGTCATTGGCATTTATCATGTCTTTCATGTATGTTCTACATTTACAATGAAAGCAGCATTTCACCTTTTACATCCTTCACTGACCTACTGTACTTCACAAACACTTGACCATGTTTGTGATCGCTGCCAATAGAATGACTGGCTGAACTAGACATGAAGGAGCCAGACAGCAGCCATCTGCCTTTATTAACCTTGTCTGTGTGTCCATGTCCCCTCTTCATCCTGGCACCCAGCCGGTCCTAATGCAAAGTGATGATTTCAAGCAGAAGTACTTTAAAAGGGCACTAATGTTGTTTAAAACTGATAAAACACATTAAAAACATGTATTTCCCACCTTTTCCATGTGTTTTCATGTTATAGATAAGTAATAAATCAGTAAAACAAATGTTTAATATCAACGCCTCTGATTGGCCAGAAAAATGATGACGTACTTGTAGGGGTCGCAGCTCCGGTCTCACTGTTTATGGCATTGCTCCTGCTGCCGCTTTGACACAAATAAACCTTAAAATAGGTGTATTTTGTACGGCCCCGGGATGCAGCAATGAAAGTTACCAAAAGAAGAGTGTAAGATAAACCTTTATTAGTCTCACAGTGTAAACAGCAGTCCCTACGATCTTTGACTGATTCAGAGAAGGCAGAGGTCCAAACCAACTGAGAGAAGACACCAGCGCCAGGTCCATGAAATTAGTCCTATCGAGCTCCAACTAAAACCAGTTTTACGAGTTTCAACCCAGTATTCAGCAGAAAACACAACTGTCATTGAACCATGAATCCATGTTTCACTCTAACTACGTTTAGTAAAAGATATAGATATGACACATACCATCATGTTTTAGACTTTAGAACCACAGACACACGTTCAGAATAAGACCATATACAGTGTTTCCCACAGGATTGGAATCAATGTGTGGATTGGATCTGGATTGAAGCAGCAAACATTCAGTGTACGAGTAAAAAACTACATAACATTATCTACAATACGTTTATTTGATTCAAAGCTGCTACATATAGTGTTTTGACCTGACAACCAATGTCCCCTCTAATTTTTCATGGGTCAGGGCAAAAACACAACCCCCAGAGCGGCACGTGAGCGAGAGATCTCTGTTGAAAACCATTCACATTTGGATACACCTCCTGGATACACCTCCTGTATACACCTGCTGATCTCATTTATTTAAGATACTCCAGCTTCAACCAACTATGATTCGGTTCAATATTCACTTGATCATTATTCAAATGAGTCTTTTATAGATGGTGAATTTAAGTAGATTGCGGAATATATGTGGTGAATTTCACTAAAAACACAAAATATTCAAAGTGGACTAAATAGATTTATACATAGTATACATGGTTTTATTGTCATATGTGACAGTAGCTTGGTAGAACATTGGCCTTTGAGCCAGAGGGTCGTGGGTTCGAGCCCGACCTTCACCATCGACTCCCACTGTCTGCTGTCGTTGTGTCCTTGGCAAGACACTTAACCTCTGGGAACAGCAGGTGCCACAGTGGGGCGGCTGCGGGTGTAAAGTGCCAAACCGTCGTTGTGTCCTTAGGCAAGACACTTCACCCCCATTGCCTAGAATGAGTCTGGTGTGTGTGTGAATGGTTGGTGGTGGTCGGAGGAGCCGATGGCGCATACTGGTTGCCTCGCTTCTGTCGGTGTGCCCCAGGGCAGCTGTGGCTACAGTGATAGTTTATCACCACCGTGTTTGGAGTGAATGAATAATGACATGTACAGTGTCTTTGAGTGTCCAGAAAAGCGCTATATCAAACCAATGCATTATTATATGGCCTTATAAAATAAAACACATGGACCAATAATTATCTAAGATAATAATTGTCATATTGCCACAAAAACTTTACTCAGCAATAGGCAACTTTGTGCTGAACTGAAGGGGACGCTGGTCTGACCAGACCTGGTCTTCCCTACATAAGTTTGTGCGCGTGAGTTGTCCGCGGCAAGACCGAGTGAGCGAGTTCACGGTGTGCAGGGTGCTGTTGGTCCGAGCCGTGTTCTTTATCAAACGCAGCTTCAGACTTCTGTGTCGGGCGCTTTTGCGCACGCGCGCAGCTTAGGGAACATTGCTGACAACCCAACTACATTTTACCCCAAACTTGCGACTCTAATTAACTTTCTAAGAAAGGCGGAATTGGGTGTTTGCTAGGGGTCTTCTCTGCACCAAATAGGCCACGTTTCCAAGGATGACATTTTCGGGGAGACAGACGCGGTGTGCAGGTAGGGAAGGGGCCGTGTGTGTGAGCGTGTGCGTGTGAGCAGTGAGAGAGACGCACGGGTGACAGAGAGACATGTGGAGACCAGGGAAAAAAACATGCAGCGGAACGAACACGCTGCGTGTTTTAAATAGTGTTAAATATTTAAATAATAGAAGAAAAAAAAACGCAATCTGTGGCAGTCGGTTTCGAATCCGTGGCGGTGCGCCACAGATTCGCCTATGTGTGGGAAACGCTGATATATGTTTGCATTTGATTGAAGACACTCACCATTTCTCTCAAACTCAACATCTGGAGCTGGGACATAGAGTTGAGGCTTCTCTCTCGTGTTGCGGGTATTGGCGTGTTAGCTGATGTTTGCTTGTTAGCTGATGTCCGTAAAAATAACGTTAATCCATCTTGTCAAACCACCTCCAGACTTTTCAGTTCTGTCACTTTTACGGCTGGGATCTTTCATTTTACGGTAGTCACGTTTACGCTTCTTAACTTTACTCTGCACTACGATGTCCCTGATGTACTCCTTCTTCCCTAGCGCTACCTTCGCTACTCACTCCACTCAAGCTCAAAATGACCGCATCCGCAAACTGGGTCGAGACGGTTCGGACCCGGTCGGACCCGGTCGGACCATAGATTCATGACTCCAGCCCGTGGAAACGGTCCTAATGTCCGCAAATGTTCATTTCTTGCAGATTGCTCCTCATCTGAACCGAGTCCTCAAAATCAGAATTACTGTCATAACAAGTACGCAAGGGCTCATAAATAAAAGCCCTTGACTTGTACTGTCCATCACTGAATAACAAATATCTGTTTAAACGTCCGTATACAACGTTATGGCTTATAAATGCATATCAACAAAGCCCATAGACCCCTACGTGTACGTCACTTCCGGTCTCGGCAATTTTTCCGCG